TCCATCAATAAACAAGTAAACATCAGTGGTTGGTTCCTCTTCGCGGCATAGCTGCATCATAAGCTCCGATTACCCAGCTCATAATTTGGCCAACGTTAGTCTCTGCCGTTCCTAATGGTAGAAAAAGGCGAATACTTTCTCGTCAAACGCTTCGGATTTCCACCCTCTCACATCTCGGTCCAACATTCCCTTCTTTTCCCGGCTTATGTGGCTCAGGGCAGCAACTGGTGTCACTGCAGAGTCTCTGACCGTGAGGTTCTAGGGTTTGAGTCCTCGCGGTGGCAGGATTTGCGACCTAGCTTGTCAGCTAGGTTGAATTCTGCCACTGCCTGGAGGAGGATTATAACGTTCGGCTGCTATGATGGGTGGTTTTCCGTTGTCTCTTCAATCAATACCAGGCAAATGCCGGAGCAGTACCCTAATAAACGTGCAACGGACCGTGCGAGAGTTTTCCTTCTTATTCCTTGCACTATCCCCATCCCTTACTACTACCACTCATGCCGGGGGACAATAGTCCAGTCAATTTTTACTCAAAAAGGGCAAATAACGGAAAGTTTTGGTATAGTTTACATATTTGGTTCCTATGCTTTTGGGTCGCTGAAGGTGAATATCAGGTTTGCCAACAAAACTTTTGCCCAAAAATACTTTTAAGCAAAAAAATGTGTAAAAATCATGCTCTTTTTAGTATATTTAAAATAAGTTGAAAGACATACGTTTTTCTTAATAAATTGTCCTACATTAAATAAAAGAAGATAAAATTACCTACATTTAATGTTATGAAGATTGTTTTGTGCAACTAGCGCTTTAACCATGTCAGCATTTTGAAATTTGGTGATATATGCGAAACACATGAAAAACCGGAAATATACCGTTTTATCTTAAAAAAAAACTTAAAAATATCAATTTTTCGTAAATATTAACTTTATATGAAATTAAAGAAGATAAAATTAGCTACATTTTGTGTGTAACAAGTTTTCTCCTAGGACAAATGGTATAACTGTTAGTGTGCAAAATACGCCCGGACATTACTCTGAAAGCTGCACTCCGCTTAACCTCCCTCACTCACTAACTCCTTTACGTAACATACATCCAATAAAGTTGCATATAAATAAATACAGCGCCTTGTGAATCAGTTTACACATTAATTTAAAAAAGGGAAGTAGGTATTTAACTAGTATTTATATTAAATAATTACTAATTAATAACATGAAAGAGGAAAGTAATAATATGAAGACGATAGAGCTTCTGACGCATAGGTTTCGAAGGCCCTGCTTTTATAGACCCTTAATTTTACATGAGTGAAATTGAGGAAGCGTTGGACCTCTACACCCAGTTGAATGGTACAAGGACCGAGTTAGGTAGCAATGCTATCTGGTGAGCACGCCTTTCTTCAGACCCTAGGCCCCGCCCTCGTTCGCCGGTAAGCGTTTTGCACATGCCTTAAGGCGGAATGAAGTGGGAGGCTAACGCTTTTCCCGTCCCTGTCAACAGCTTCACACGCGTTACGCGCGGCCGTTGTCGAACAAAAAAAATTGATGATTGTTACACGTATAACTCAAAAATCCATTACACGAGAAAAAAGAACAGTTGCAGAATACCATATCTATGAGACTGTAACAAGGGAACTTGTTATAGAAATATATACATATATATATATATATACATATATATATACATACATACATATACATACATATATACATACATACATGCATACATATATACATACATACATATATACATACATACAAATATACATATATACAAATATACATATATACAAATATATATATATATATATATATATATATATATATATATATATATATATACACAATTTATTTTGGGGGCGATTTCTATAGGAGAGGCTCCACCTCAGAGCCTTTAATCACAAGCCGCGCCTGTACTGGATGTTGTAAAGAACACAGTTGCATTCGCAACGTTCCTTCTACTGGCAGCGCGTAAGGAGCAAAAAAGCAGCCATGACCATCGCAGCAAGGGTCGTGTCCCTGCCCCGCGGCGCAAACGCTGCACATCGAACGTGCACGTGCACGTGCAGTTGCCAGGCGCACGCGTCGCGTCGCCTCGCGTCGCGTCGTTTCGCGAGAGCGCACTGAATCAACCAGCATCCATATTAACATCTGACAACCGCTTGTCACCAAATTACTCCCCCGGATGATCGCGTGCGCGCATTTCGATCCGCTCCGTGCAAGAGACGATAATTTTCCCGAAACTGAACCAAATGGGACGGAATGTTGCGTTTTGGCCGAGGAAACGCCACCAGCTCACTACGTACGTAAAATGAAACCAGTACTTTTGCTGTAGAACCGCCTAAATATTGTTGGTTGGTATAAGGGTAATCCTTTGTCATCTATAAATTTCATTCGAAAGATGAACTGAATTTAAGGAGCAATAAATTACAACAATTTGTTTATTAAAATGAGTGGACAGACAAGCGTGCCATTTACACGGTAATCAAACAAATTTCTATCGTTACTACTTTGGAAAGTAAACTATATTGTAAACTCTATAGGACCCGGACTTTTACTTTGCAGAAAATGTGAATAAATAACAGAGAAATGCCATCCAAGTAATTTCTGCAAGCTTCTCTTCATTAAGCTTGGGATTCTACCATTTTTCTGTCTATTCATCTGCGAATCAGTCGCTTTCGTCAAAACTGACCCGTGTCTTTTCAGGTTGTCGGTCTTTGCTAGAATTGGACAAGCTGAGGCGATATGATCAACTAGCATACCCGTGCGAGGACTCTCGCCTGTTAAATTCCACCCTCTTCCCTATCTTCTTTTCCATATTAAGAGGGGAAGTTGTTAACAAAACGTCTGTATTGATCAAAAAATTTAAAGAAGGTAACTTCTAATGTACTTAAACATGTAAAATTAAAATAAAGAACAATGAAATTAATGTTTGAAAGAAATTTTGAATAAAGGTTTATTCAGAATTATAGACATGTTCTTAGAACAATTCACAACACTTCTTTAAAAACAGCATTTCACTCTTATACTATCTTCCTTGACATCTTTTCGCTGTCCTTGATAGTCACGAAAATATTACAAAAGATTTTTACTCTCGAGAAAGCCACTTAAGTTTGTCTAAGCGAAAATACGGAATCGGGTAAGTATAACACTACTCTTTGGAATATTATTTAACTTTATTACCGAACCGAGGTTCACCCGTGCAATTTAATTGCCTAGAATGTCAAGTACTTTGTTTCATTTCACGTACAGTTGCAGATTCTGTAGGATACTGATTCTGTAGATTCAGTAGTGCAGTACGTTATATCACAAACTTTTCACAGAAATAAGAATATCATTACTAACATTCGATAAATGAACAATTGTACTATACACATAAAAGCCAATCTTCATTGACATCAAAGTACTATTAACGCTAATTAATGCTGCGAGAGTATTGAGGTTTATTTGCACAATCTCGAATTAAAGATTATGCAGATAAACCTCATCAGTCGGAGAAAACCGCGGTGTACACAGAATGCATGCATACGTAAGTATAAGTTGGACAAATCTAAGCCTTTTGAGAGTGACGTCACAAAGATCGCCTGCAGCGCCGAGTAATATAGTTGGTATTGAATAATATCGAACGTCGGACTAGCAAAAATGTAATAGAACGTGTAGTAATATCTCATTCCGTAGATTACGGCACGGAAAACGATTCTTTGAGACCTTCGGTCTCAAAATTCCAGGTTTTAAGGACATAGAACCCTTCGTTTAAGCGTTATTTAACTACACAAATTTTAACAATACGGCCGTGTTGTGCGGATTGCATTTTGACGTGAATATTTATACCTTTTTTTTCAATAAATCCATCATATTTATAGCCAAAGTGCAATTCCTCACGTCTCCGTGAAATTCTCTTTCTATAGAGACCTCAAGATTTGTTGCGTGTGAGTGCCGTAAAAGGTATGTGTACTACCGAAATAATGGTTACTACCTGTTCCTTGCAAATGCATCATTTACCATCTTGGAAAATTATTAGCATTATTACGAATATTATTCATAATGTGTCAGTATCAACAGCTCTACAAAAAAAAATCCACATTTACTTTTACGATATTTAACAGCAAAAGACAGATGCCATTATATAATTGAAATGATTCACGGGTTTAAATGACAAAATCTTTTCCAATGCGTAACTATTTCAAAACAAATAGATACTTTGCTGACCATCAAAACCGAACATATTTATTTTAATAACGATGCGAATGCATTAGTTACACTCTATGTATACTGAACAACATTCTAATGTATAATTCCAATATACCAAACGTTCCTGTAGCAAGTATTGTATTTTTAGATTCTGAGTTAATCGCCTACATTTCGATCAGTTTTTCGTCCAGTTTCTCTTGATTCATTGAGCAAATACTAAATCAACCCTTATTATTCTTCTGGACTAAATGACTTGCACACATTTTGTTGCGTCTTTTTTTAAATTTGTGGAAACAGGACAGGATGGGTGTTATTTTGTTAGCAAAACTAAAAAATCGTATCTTCAGTTATTTTGCCAGTACAAATACGTTTTCTGTTACTCGAGAGTGAAAATATCTATTTTTCAAAATTTCCAACCAAACTGTTGTTACCTTTTGTCATAGTATACGTATAGTAAAAGGGAGGGGTAGGCCAAGGTATTCTGGATCTCAAAAATACTTGCGCAAATTATTCTTTCCAATTTCCATAGTTTCTTATTTTCTTCCTGATAATAATAATAATAATAATAATAATAATAATAATAATAATAATAATGTAATTATTATATTATTTTTATCCTCCACGCACGTTTTCTTGAGCCCTCACGTCACTTGTTGCGAGAGGAATGGGGAGTTAGGTTATTTTGACAAAAGGAATTTTATGACAAATTTGTAGTTCGTTTTTCCATGCTAAATAGTTTTATTACACGTGAGTGAACGTTTTTAATTATCAGATTTTGTCTACAGCGCTTGTTGCTATCCTTTATTCCTAATTCAACTAATGTTGGCAAATGAGTGGGGATAGGTATGCCAAGGCTCAAGAAGACGTGCGCGTATAACAATATTACTATTAAAATTATTTCCGTAACTGGAATACATTGCAATGTGTATACCAGGTGTATACGTTCCACTACGCTATCTTGCAGGTCAATCGCGAACTACCAGTGGCAGAGCTTATAGCCGTGCGCAGTGCTGCTATCTCTCAGTCACTTTACAAATTTGCTGAAAGCTTTTTCTTTTGGTCAAACGTCAATATACAGAATACAGACTTGTATTCAAATTGTTTCTACACTACTGCAATCTAGTTTTCTCTGCCTAGTAAAATGAATGTTATTGAACTTTTTAAACTCTATTGCTCAGTTCGCACAACATACATATTGCATTCAGCCACAACCCGACATCAGTTGCAAGAATTTTTAACTGAATTATGAAGCTGCAAGGGATTCGTTGAATAATATACTTGCAGTTCATGTTGTTCATTCGAAACTAATACATATATCCAAGGAATACAATATTATTTTTGGGAAATTGTTTTACACGTGTGATTGCGGTGTTTCAAAACTGCCAAGAATTTGTACATATTTAAATTCAGAGATTATTAGAGATAATTTGTAATAACCTAGGCATTAGGATTATATTGCAACTTAATATTCGTTAATACAACTTTCATTGACTGTTGTGCTTATTGTTAAGCATTTATATAGTGATGTGATGGGTCACTTTAAATCTGGAGTATTTGCATATTTCATAGACAAATCTGTTTGAGACTCTTTCTGAATAATGCAAGTCTGGAAGCATTGACCTTCTTTTAAACTGTATTTTCCCACTAAAACAAAACACAAAAGAACTTGTTCGGGAAAACAGCTAGCGGGTTTTTAAAGTACACCCGCCAGAACTGCCAACAGAAGTTACTGAAGTTGTGCAAGATTTTCTCTGCGGCGTCTACAACTCCAGTTGGCAACGCTGAACTTGACCCACAAAAATAAACAGCAGCTACCTTGTACCTTGCGAATGGGTGGCAGGTGCAATGATCGCTGTCCGATGTTCAATGTCCAGGGACGAGGCCGCGCCGCTCAAATCGGCTGATTGTCAGTGCCAGGCGAGCGAGCGAGTGCGTGACTTGGATCAGCGCTTGTTATAGAAAACCCTAAGTGTCTGACCGCCGCTGCGTACAGCCATCATGCAGAAGGGTATCGTAAAAGTGAACGGAGTGCCGACCTACGTGGCCACCTGGGGAGCGTGGATTGAAGACGATTTGAAAAACCACCAAAACCTTATCGTTTGCATATCAGGTAACCCCGGAGTCACAAGCTTTTATAATGAATTCTTGGAAACATTGTATGGAACTTTGGACATGCCGGTGTGGATACTGTCACACGCTGGGCATGAAGTTGGACAAGATGTGACAATTCCTCCGTTATCCGGAAATCGTGAACTATATAATCTGGAGGGGCAAATAAAACATAAGATTGAATTTTTAAAAAAGTATGTGCCGCCTCATGTTAATATATACTTCATTGGACATTCTATTGGTAGTTACATGATTCTCAGAGTTTTAAAACAATTTCCAGAAATCAAAGGAAGAGTGATTAAAGCATATATGCTATTTCCTACAATACAAAAAATGAGGGACTCTCCAAATGGAAAGTTTTTTTCTGGAGTGATACAATATATAGTTCCCATCATTGTTTTTCTCTCTTGGATTTTTACACTTCTTCCTTTGGTTGTAAGAAAGACACTTTTATACGGTTACTTCACTATTCAATCCACAAAAAAAGACATGATACGACCTACTATGAAATTAATCAATCCACGTGCCTTACGAAATGTTTTTTTCCTTGCCAAGGAAGAAATGGATGTGGTTACTGAACTGGACCCTGATCTCATTAATAATGTTGTAGATAAGCTATTTTTTTATTTTAGTACAAGTGATGGCTGGGTTCCTCTTAGTTACTACGAAGATTTAAAGAAATCTCATCCTCGAATACATGCACTAACAACCAATCACAGACATGCTTTCGTTTTAGATTCTGGAAGAGAAGTAGGATATTGTGTTAGCAAATGGATAAAGTCAGAGAGTAGTGGTCTAAAACCTAATACTTTACAAAGTTGATTTTCTTCCAGGAAGTGTTAAACATGCATTTTATTTTATTAAGTTGTTAATATCTGGAGACTTTCTTTTAAGAGTCTTTAACTGGTGGTGAAAATGTGGTGGTATTGTTTGCTTTGATATGGAGCAAAAAATGTTTAGATAGTAGAGACACAGGAGATAATCTCAAAAAGATAAATGAGACAAGTGTTGTAGCAACAAGTACATATACTTGTTAATTTTTTTAAAGTATTCAACCAAATGAGATCATGAATTAAAGCACATATCTAGCCTCAAAACCTATCAAACCATAAAAAAAATTGTCAATTTACTAATAAAATATTGATCTTAAGGATGTTTAATATGTTGATTCAAGTTATAATGTAAGAAAATTAAGAAGCAATTCAAGAGAAGAAATCTGATTTTGACATTAACATATCTCTGCTCATAGGTTATCAATACTTTTACTTTTGTATTCTTCTCCTGGAAACGGGAAATGCCTGAAGGAAATCTATGCGCTGTATCTGGGGGTGGCCAACCTGTAGGCTATATGTAGTGTGCCGTGTGTCACCTAGTGGCCCTTAGAGGAAATTGAATTAGTATTTATACTTCAATTTTGTTTTATTATCTCTTATACAACTTGCTTTAATAATAATAATGGTTGTGAAGCTCCACAGGAATTCTCATACCGCAGAAAAGATTGGCAACCCATGCTGTAGATTGGATTTATATTTTAACTATTGTTTTTCATATTTATTCTTTATAGAGTTTGTTATATTGTTTATATGACTTTTATTTTATTACACAATATAAAGCCAATTATGTTATTAGGAATGCCATGTGTGTAACTAGATTGGATTCAAATATTTTTAGTTGTTTTAAAAAGCCAAAAAAAAATTGTAAATAATGGATTTTATTTGAAATAAAGCAGTCCATTAAAAATGTAGACAACTGAGTGTTGTTTGATGTAATTCCATAGCATTTCAAAACGTGTTATTTCCCAAGATATCAGCCTTGCTTCCAGTCTGTTTGAAATGTGATATGGACAGAAAACTTGTCCATAACAGTTTTGTTAACATTTTAATATTGTTCGCAAAACAAAGGAATTCAACAAAACAATGAAAACCTGTTTGAATGTTTTGTAAATGACAACATAATGACAAAATATTTAATTTTTATCCTTTTAGGTGTGATATGTGATGCATTAATATTGTGAAACCAGGTAAAGAAATTATGATAGTTTGTAATTTGTAAACTTTGTTCAGTTGATGTGAAACAATCTATTTTTCATTTTTGGCTTGGATATTATTATTTTATAACATTTTGTGATTATCTATGCTATTAAAGACATTTATTAATGTTATGTAATTTAAGATATTAAGTATTATTGCCATCATACTACCCAAGATTTGAGGTTTTGTATTTAAACATTACAGCACTATTCCTTGTTCTCGATAACCATTTTTGAAATGAAAGCTATATGCTGATAATGCCATGTTCTATCAGATGTGAACTAATGTTCTTTATATTTTTAGAAAAATTAAACCAAAGTCATTTTGAAGTAAATTGTCCACAGTTTGGCTAAAACATGGGTACATTTACAGTTATCAATTTCTTTCTGATCATTGATTTTCATTGTTTCTGCTATTCTATGTTAGTGCCTAAAGTTTTAAGTAATTACTTAAATTATTAGTTTCTTTTGTGTGATAGCCATAATGTCAAATGAACCCCAGCTTGAGTTTACAATCATGTTTTCCAGTGTTAAGTATGAATTAGAAGCTTTTGACAATTTAGATATCATTCTTCATCAATTGGCTGTAAGCAAGATTCAACATCAAATCAAAATTACAGATCTCAAGTTAAGCATGACTATGTGATGACAATATGGTCATGGCATTGAAGGATTTTAATCTTAAGAATAAAATCACTGTTAGGATACTATCCTCAATAATTTGTTCAATGCAGGTATATCAATATTCAAGACATTAAGATTTGCACATTTTTCAAAAACAAATTTAATTTTACATGTAATATTGTTAAATTTGCCAAGTAATTACTGTAGAGCAAAATGTAAACATCGAATTGTATTCATGGAAATCAATACTTGTCAATTTTAGTGTTGGTAAGTTGATAGTCTGTTGAATATAATTAATTTGGCCGTTGCAGCATCGATAGGAGTTTACTTTGATATCATACCAAAACCACTAAGGTCTTAGGAATAACTCAGTATTATGGTAACAAAGTACCATTCATTGCAGAATTAATTTAAGCATTTTTTTTTTACAACAAAAATAACTTATTTGGAACTTGTTGGAAAATAAGGCCTCTAAAGGAATCCTTCATTTAAAATTGATACAGGTAGAGTACTGGAAATTTTATTTTCAACAGCTTTTGGTTTCACTTTCAATTTAGCAGTACAACTACCATCTGAAAAAGAAAATGAACAGGGAGACTATTTCTACAATTTCTCGCCATATCAAGTTTTACATAATGACATGAAAATGTCTATACAGAAGATTTTAATTAATTACATAAAATAAAGGAACTCATCTGAGAAATTTAAAATAATAAACGCCTCATTTTACTTGAAATATTGAGAGGAAGTTCATGAGTACTTACCTCTCTCCCAACCCACACACAAAAAGGGAAATGTGTTGTAACTAAAAGCAACAATGGTGAGGGACATACTAAAAAGACAATTACGTAACTTTAAATCAAAGCTAAATTGCATTGATGACAGGATGTGCGTGCATTACACCAGATGCAACATTTTTTTTTCTAAAGCAGAATAAAATTTTACATCAAGGCATACTCTGCACGTAGAATTACTTCGCATCAACTACGCTAAAAAAGAACACGCGGTGCACAAAATAATGGCCCGTAAAATTCGCGTCGCTGCCGAGCGGTTCGGGTAGGTTAGGCCGGCAAGCCATGCCATGTCAGGACAGGACAGGGGCGCCACCCAACCCCGGCCGGCTCCGGCTTCGTTACGTAAGTATCGCCCCCCGTTGGAAGTCAATCATGGTGCCAATAGACGTCGTATCATTGATCATCCGGGACCCTCGCCCTTCGCGGATGCAAGGCGGGCGGGCGGGCGGCGCACTTGACCTCGGCAGCCCCTGACAGCCGCTGGCGCGTCTCAGCCGCTCGCGATGCTCTTTGGAGTTCGGACTGCGTGCTCGCGATCTGCCCCGCCGCCGCGCCGCGCCGCGAGACTCGAATTTGCCGCAGTGCGGTGCCGTGCCGGTTCAACCGAGCTGTGCGAATGACACTGCCGAGAAATCATTGAGAAGTCGGGACAATCGGTGTGACGGTCGAGTGATCACGTAACCGACGTTGTCAATCATGCAGAAGAGCATCGTGGAAGTGAACGGCGTGGCGACGTACGTTGCCACTTGGGGAGCGTGGATTGAAGACGACCTGAGCAACCACCGGGACCTCATCGTGTGCATCCCAGGTAACCCCGGAGTTACGGGCTATTACGAGGAGTTTCTGGAGACGCTCTATCGCAGCCTCAACATCCCCGTGTGGATCGTGTCGCACGCCGGACACGAGGTGGGTCGCGACGTCACCATCCCACCTCTACGGGGCAACCGACAACTCTACTCGCTGGAAGGCCAGATTACTCATAAAATACAATTCCTCAATAAGTATGTGCCACCTCATGTTAACATTTATTTCGTCGGGCATTCCATTGGTACTTATATGATACTGCAAGTTCTGAAGCAATGCCCAGAAATAAATGCAAGGGTAAAGAAATCATACATGTTATTTCCAGCAATTCATCATCTGAAAGACACTCCGAATGGAAAGCTGTGGGGAAACTTTTTGCTACGCATTAAATCTTTCCTGCTCTTCCTTGCATGGATTTTTATATACTTGCCGATTTTTATAAGGAAGATTCTTATATATATTTATTTTTTAATTTTTCCAGCTAAGAAGGAAATGATACGGCCTACTGTGAAATTACTCAATCCTCGAGCACTTCAGAATGTCTTTTTCATTGCACAGGACAATTTGGATAACGTTAAAGAGTTAGATCATGAACTCATAGATGAATTGTCTGACAAATTACTATTCTATTTTAGCATTACAGATGGATGGGCTCCTCTTAGTTTATATGAATATTTGAAGAAGTTACATCCTCAAGTGCATGCACTGACAAGCAGTTACAAACATGCTTTTGTTTTAGAAGCTGGACGTGATGTAGCCGGTTGTGTCAGTAAATGGATTGAGTCAGAAGCTGTTAACATAAAATGTAGATCATTATCAAGGTGACTTTCATATATGAATTACTTGCTCAGTAATATTAGTTACAGCATGATGGTTAAGCACAATGCATTAGCCCAAGGCACCAGATCGTGACTCCCAAATATTCACATCCCACTAGTTAACTGAAATAAAATATTGTCATGAGAGCTCATTAGTTTTTTCTTATACTAACTCATATAAGAGAATGTTTAAAGCAATAATCTACAATAAAACCTATTAACTGATTCACATTTCTAATTACTCAGGCCTTAAATGAATTAAATATTTAAAATTAATATTAAATTGTAAAAATAATCTTCTACATTACATTATGTATTTTATAGATAGATTTTATGAGAGTTTGATGAGAGAATAAAATATTCAGTATTGAGTAAGTAAGTAATTACTTCCTAGACAATAAAATAATTGAGTCAGCCTTTAATCTCACATAGTTGAAACTAGATTTTAATGGACAAAAATTATTATAACTCCAATTTATAGACTGTTTCTAAATAAACAAGGCAATGCCAAATATACATTAGTGAGTCAATATATACACTAGTGAGAGATTTATAGAAAATATTCATATCATGTGGAGGCCTAACATGTTGAAGTTTTATAGAACAATCAGCAAGCACATAGTTAGAATTTGGGGGAAAGGAATAGGGTACAGTTTTCCTTGAACACTGGCTTATTTGTCAGAAAAAGTATGTAGAACAGTGCATTATTTTATTTATAAAATTAAAATGTACAAAAATATATAAATCTGTTTGTGTATCTATCACAAATGTAACTGCATCAAATTGCAATGTAATCTTCAAAAAATTGGTTCCACTGAAGTCATAGCTGTGATAATTTATGATTGTTTGCAGCATTGCTTTTTATGAATATTTTTTGATGTAAGTAAATACAAATATACTACTTTGAACAGTTTTAACATTAAAATATTGAATGACTATTTTTCACAGATGTGTTTTTATGTATCTTTTCCATTGAATCCCCCACTTAATGTGTGTGTACAATGCAACAATTTCTGTATTATTTTTGACAGGATGTTTCTTCGACTGAGGATATGGTTAACATAACACATTAATGATGGCACATTAACACTAATTTCCCAATATACAATAAATTGAAACTTGAGGGAAAATAATTACTGTGAATTAAAATAAAAGAACAAAAATTCTGTGAACTTGATAGAAAAATTAACAACTAAGTGAGCCTCTTATTGTTACCATCCCTGCATTATAAGTTATTTCTTTTGCTTATATAAGACCTATTTTCTCAAATCTTTATTCATAAACCAAAAGTAAACATTATTTTCATTCTCATTTCAATTCTCAAAGAAAATGTGAAGTATTTACAGAAAAAAATCAACTTTCAACACAATCTGAAGTAGTAATATCCAATTTGTCATTTATGAAGCGTTTCATGTAATTTCATTATTGCCATTATTTGCAACAAGTTAACAGAACAATTCGATTACACTTCTCATTCCAATTTCTTTATTTAAATTCTAACAATTTTTTACATTTACCCTGACTTCGAATGACTTCATACTACCTTAGAATTTAGTAAAAAAGGGAGAATTTTTTTATAACACATTTGTATACTCTGTATCTCAAACTGTATTTGCGTCACTTTGCAAGTAAACATATTCTCAATGTGATATTAAAGTAAATATTTTTTTTATTTACAACCTTAATGGTCATGTATTAACCACAATTCATATTACGATAATCCTTAAACCATCTCAAGTTATAGGTTGATTAAAAAAATTGAACACTTTTGTTCCTAAGTTCTCCCCTAGTGCATTTTCTAGTACATCTTTGGATGCTTCACACACAGAAACTATATTTCCAAACCTCTGAAGAAGACTTTTGGCTTCTTTTTCCCCAATTCCAGGTACGTTGGTCAACAATGAAACTTGTTCACCTAGAGATGTTCCTCCCTGACCACTCCCTTTTCTTGTCTTTTGAGGTGATTTTGTCTCTTCCACTGCCTAAGTAAAAGCAATGCAGTTGAAAGAAAGAAATTCAAAGTTTAGAGTACTTCATCATGATTTACAGCTTTACTGACCAATTTGTGAAGGATAGCTGGTAACTGTGAGTGACAGGTAACAGGAATTACCAATAAGCCAACATCTAAAGTTGCATATTCTTGGATATCACTAAACTCTGATAAAACATTTGAATTCCAGGTGGCAATTACCAAACCTTTACTACTGGAAACCTGAGAAAATCAAGATCTCATTTGTTTTTAAGGAATTAATGCTCACAGTTTTATGTTTAAATCCATATAAGTGACTTTACTTGAGAAAAACATTTTTTTAAAGCAATACTCACAGAATTTAATTTAGAAACTTTTTCTTGACATTCTCTCTTTTTTGTTTTCAAATCTGATTCAGAGAAGTAGATTACAGGGCATTCCTGTGTTATGTAGAAATCAACAAAGCCCATTGCATCACTGTAAGAAATTTTTGTTCGTTCTAGACCAAAGTAAGTTCAATATTAATTTTTGTTTACAAATGCAACATACAGCCACTATTTACATTGATCAATCTTTTTAAACCGCAAACAAGAAGTAAAATCTAATCACAAAAAATTATTTACTAATTTTTTTAAATGTAAAAGCCTCTCACTTTGCTAACAAAAATAATAGTTTTAATCATTAATTTTTGGCCAATGCGATTGAAATTATGAAGGTAAAGTATTTGAATGTAACTAAGTAAATATTTTGCCTGTTTGTTACGTACAGCCCAGAAGTAATTAATACTTACATTGACTGATTCTTAAATGAATCAGGAAAGAGATACATTACAATTTTTTAACGAGATTTGGAACCGCAAGTTCATTGTTCCTACTATGATTAAGATGAACTCTTCCACTTCATGAAGATGAAACAAGTTAACACTAAACCTTCTCATTTACCAAAATTATAAGACATTCACATGCTTTAGGGAAAATACTGTTCACAGAAAACAATATTGGGGTCCTCAGAAGGCAGAAAGGTTTATATATTTAAGAAAAAAAAACTAGATAATTAGTAATTAATTAGAAGGTACCAAATGAAGTGTAAAAGATAAAAAGAAGATAAACTAGAAAAAGTTCAATAAATTTTTTTTAGAACTTAAACCCATCATGTTAATTTTCTAATGCAACATTTTTTTGATAAAAATTAATGTCTGTTTTCTTGGTTGTAAAATCCAATTAGTTCGAAATGTTTGATTGAAGAAAATGTTGAAATATGCTGATATTTTCATGTGTAAAGCCCTATTTTAATGTATTTACAAATAGAAAAGGTGAAACAAAGAAATGAATAACTTTAATACAGATGAAAGAGAAGACCTTGCCTTTACTGAAAGTTGATGTTCAAAATCAGTTATATAAAATGTTAAATCAATCATGAAGAGGTATTATGGTACTCTGACAATGCTAAATCCTGGCTTCACAATTGGAACATGTTATGAATATACAATGAAAGGATAATACATTTTATTCCTTCACAAACAGATGTCACATTTAAGACTTACTTGCGAGTTCTCTGCCAACAGGATCACTTGTCCACCTTTTGTTAACTAGAATGTAGCCACAGGGAAACTTTATCCCTCCTTTGTCTGGATTTTGATATTGTGAACTGGGTTGGTTTGTACACATGCTTATGAATGGCAATGAACAGATCAGATTCTGAAATAAGAAAGTATTCTACATTATATAATTCAAAAAGAGATTGTGTGATAACACAAGAGGCAGTTTTTATCCATTTCTCTACCTTGTAGGGTTTTTACAAATGAATAGACTTTTGAAGCTACACAAGCTAAAAACCATTATTATTAAGACTGCACAAGTCTGAATTGTGCAAATTCTTCAGCAACGCTACTTTCAAGTTTTTATTCTATCATATTAATGGTAAGTTTTCATTATTATTACTATTATCATCAACATTATTAATAATAGTTGTAATTTATTAATACAATGTACCAACACAACTTTCTACTCGAAAGTGCCCCACAGATTTGTTCCCATTTTCATTCACTCGTATCAATACTGCTGAGTAAGAAATTTGAAAAAGCAAAGTAACTTCTTAAACACTTTCACAAAGCACACATTTGTACAAAAAGACTGTCTGACAAAAAGATTAAAAATCCTTTTTGTTACGATGTACCAAAATTACCATATGATTACTGACGAAATTATGATACAATTATTTTTTACTAGAATTATCCTAGCAATTGTCCGAGTTGATAAAATAATCACATTCAATGTAAATTAAATTTTCAATAGTAGTGTTCATATTTTATGAGACTTTTTTTACTAGACCCCATCATAAATACTACACAAGCAGCACTTTTAGGGAGACATTCATTACAAGTTCATTGGCATAAATTTGTTTAATGAAGGAAGTATCCAGATGAAGACATTCAGCAATTTTTATAGAAATGGAGCACATTTAAACTTTTGTTCAATAATGCAACACATTAACATGTATTTGGCAACCAAATAAATGTAATTTCGCCTTTTACAAAAATTAACCAAGTGGTTAATTTCCTAACATGAAGTCTGTAATTTTAAGGGTAGGAACATTGTTTTGACAGTTTTCCAATTGCAAGAGCATCTGGAAAATATTTGTTGTACATACTGGGTTACAAAATTCAGAACTTAGTTTCAAGGAATAAATTACCAGACCTAGTTAATTTTATGAAAAACTCTTAATAGTTATGCTGTTTTAACATTGTGGACAACTGCAAAATGAATTATCATAAAAATAATGTATTTTTAAGTGATTTTGTCACTAAATGAGCAATTTTTGATTAATTGACCATTTTTTAGTTAATTTAATATTGTTTGTTGGATTGTTTTTGCCACATGTTCACGAAGTTTAATGTTCACAAATCCCTTCACACTAAATTTAAATGTGTTACGATGGTTTTGCATTTTTACCTGTTGCTCCACATATGAGAAGTGTGCTATTTGAGTTAAATGTTTGCCTATCTAAAACAAATATTTTCCCTTCTTTATTTTTTGATAAAGTTTTTGATATTTTTTGATTTTCCCTTCTTTATAGTAACTTTGTTTACAAAATTAACTTGTTACTAAACATCTTTGCATGTTAGTGAACAATCCAATATTTCCAACTGACTCTTCCTCAGAATGATGCATTAGTAACTTCATTGTCTATCACTGAGGCCGAAATCACTGTTAAGTTTATTCATCTATTTTTTTATATGATTTAACAGACTCTCATTTCTTTAAATTAATGCTGAACTTAGATTTCATTAAAATTTTACCAACATTCAAAAATCAAGGTAAATAATATTACATGAAAGTATACCACTTTTAGTTTACAAAGAACATACCTGGGCTACCCACAATTTAATAGCATCGTTCCCAAATGTTGATTAATATTAAGAAAACTTCAAAATTCCTAAAATTTTGTTTCAAATCTTAAAGTACAAAGTCAAAAACAATGTTTGCATTTGTTTTAAGCAGCATTGTGTTTTTAGAGCTAAAATATTTTACCGTCAAATAATTTGTCAAGAAATTTGAAAAGCAAGCATTTTTTACAAAGAACATTTGTGCAAAAGATGGTTCTATGAATGTGAAATGGTTTGAAAACCCCCTTTGAAATGAGTTTGTTACTAGCAACAGTATTTTTTTTTTTCTATTCTATTTTATCTTTCCCTGGCACATGGGGCACCTAACCTTCGTAAAAAGTGAGAACATCTTATCGAGCCCCAAGCTTTAGTTCTATGTCGAAAGCCATGGGAACCAGACACCAGTAAAAAAAAGTATTTTCATCCAACATAATTCCCCACACAAATATTTCAATTTTTACCCCACGATACGTAAAGTACAACAGAAAAACATTGTTATTAAAATACAAAGTATCACCCATTTGCTCATGCAAAAAGTATTCATGCACCCACACAATGAAATACAATACTCTTCAGTGCCAATCCTATCAAAGTTAGCTGGGGCGAGTCTTCCCCATGCGACAATCAGTTGGCTGATTAAATTTTCTTCAGGAACAGATTAAATACACATGTCAACAATAAATTGGGTCCAAAATCTTGTGTACAGAAACCAAACTTAAAAAAGGGAAATTTCTTCCAAACATTTCATCAACCTATATTATTCTTAAGAAAAAGGAGGAAGAGGAGTTGCTATTCAGCACACACCAAGTCTCGCAATGCCTCTGAACTGTATGTGTTCACTTCAGATAAGCTTAGCTATATCCCCAAAACTAATTTCCAAATAGAATTCCCCACCAGTCAAATTAAAATAGGTTTAATTCTTTTCAACTTGCAAAAGTGCCAATACTATCCTTCCCTTCTAGTAATTTACTCAATTGAAATCTTTTCACTGAAGTACCTCAAAACTTTATTCCAGAGCAATTTTAGCAACATAAAACGAGTTTTGAAAATAGTTAAAACCGTTTTGCAGTGTTAGTACAATGACTGCAACCATAATTTGTCTGTAGACAGAAAGGAGAGGGAAATAAGTCTAGGGGCTTCAGGAGTTTACATTATTAGCCTCAAAGTAAATCCTTTACTCTGAAAATTAAGGATGAATGAAGCAAGGACAAATACAAGGGATACATGCTTGGTGTGTCCAACCTGGCTATGCCCACAAAATGTAGTATGCATTACCAGGTTCTCTATATTTGACTACTGAATACACAAACTACTTCCACAAACAATTCCAGATAAACTTTTCACAGTGGACAATTCGTACTCCCCATCAAATCTATAATGAATCTGTAAGGAGAATAACTATCATCATACAGGGTCATCAAAAGATGATTGAGAATACATTCCATTTGTGGTTAATTTTTATTTTACAACAAAATTGCCTTAGATTAATCAAACATTTCAACAAATGAATTATTTTTTGATAGTAATACAGGATTTTCTTCACAATTATACAATGCTTCACAAAGTAAAAAGCTGATACATTTGGCCATTATGGTTTAAAAAAAGCAAGGAAACATACTCTAAGCAAATCATGCACAATGTGGCTGAACATACTGCACTGTTCCACAAGCAGCTCTCAGCCTGTTCGACAAATGTGCCCCATCACAGTGGAAAGAAGATAAAGCATATAACAGACCAGGTGTTAGCTAGGTGTCCAAAGCCAAGGAAACGTCCCAAGAAAGGCATGATTTGTCGCACAGTTGCCCAGGGCTTACCACGAGGAGGTGGCTGCCATAAGCCCCACCATTCACACACACATTCACTCACCAATCATCAACATCACTCGACCACACCCATACCACATGCAATAGGTTTTGGATCACACTTTGGCCAGCACAAACATTCAGCAGAACACAAAGCTTGAATTCACAACACACATTTCTCACCCCATATGCTTGCAGATCTGATTAAGAAGCATAAAATCTGAAAATTGAGTAATTATATTCATACGAAATATTTACTGTCAAAAGTAAACATTTCTTATGTTTTCAATTTACAGTTTAAAAGCCATATAAATATCTTTAAAAGATATTTAACTACAGAACTGCAAGCTATGAGAATAGTACACAAGCTCTGAACACTGAATATGCTCGTAAGCCATAAAATAAAAAGGACATTTACCAACACATTTTTTACAATACAAAAACACTTTTTAGCACGGTAACAATTTCAATCGTCGCGATTGTATTACCGTACTTTTTCAATCATATACCAAATAAATTGTATTCCCTGTAACCTCATTTAAGTTGCATTTCTATATTTCAGTAAATAAATCGTCGCATACCGAGAGAGATCAGCGTATCACATCTTTCATTCATTCACCTCGTATTGATTCAAACTTTGACATGTAAGAATCATAACCCTTGTACACACACCAATAAAATACACACATAACTACTATTAACATAATTACCTGTAGGTCTTTGCTCAACTTACCTAGATATACCATTAACAATAAGGGATACAAACTATAAGGGAATCGGTAATAAAAAAGGAAAGGGGAGGGAACCACGCTTGCACGTAGGCGGGCTGGGTCTGGGTCGGCTGGGTCGGGCCAACGTACTACGAGACGAATCCAAAATGGCTCGAGGGAGGGGTGGGATGGCTCGAAGGGGTGGAAATTGAGCTACAAAAGCGAAACATGCTCTTCGAGCAGCAGATTCACCCAAACAGATTATCCAAACAAAATAAATATTTTTGCACAAAATTTCACAAAGAAATATTAGTAAAATAACGACGTACAGTGTTTCGAAGTTAACTGAAATTACAACATAAATACTAAATGTACGTGTAATTTCCTTATTGTGAAATAAAATTGTAGAGGAATAAGTGGCTGGATTTTTTGTTCACGCCGTTATCAATTCATTATTTATAAAATACGGCATCTGAAAATAGTATTTTTAACAATTTACGACAGATTTCTCATATGTCTATTTGCAAAACCCAAAGCATATATGTCCATAAACGTGCCATCTACCTGATGTTATTGGGAGGAATTTCACGAATTGACATTTGCAAGTGCTGATCTCTAACGCACGCACATAGAACTACACGGGCGTGAGCTTGCTTCCTTATAGTCAATACTGTGTATGAGATTGTTTAGTCTGTCGCAGTGGAATTGTTCGATGCTGCCCCATAACTGTGACACTGAGTTGGAATGTACTCACGATTGCTTAACACTATGAAAAGGTTGCGTTATAGAAGAGGTCGTTCATTCCTTTTTTATACCTGATGCTAGTTGAGTGAAGCCACTTTTTCCTCAAGAAAAAATACTTATATTTTGGCGATATCAGAGTTACCCTTTAATATCACAGAATCGTCAACAATTTAAAAACAAATTGCGATTCTAAATCTGTTAAAGATTCTCTCGTTAAATGTTAATAAGCACATTTATCCAATGTATTTACTAAATGTATAAATGATTAAATAAGTTCAGGTAAATTGTTTGTTGAGAACTATTAGTACGCCCTGTCTTGTTTTTTTTCATTCTCGCTTCCTTACGCTTGAAAAGAAAGTTACAGCGAAATGTGGTGATTTTTCGAGGGAAACACTCGTATTATGGATCCAGTATGAGTAGATATGGGTTCACGATGTCAAAAAGTGGATAATTCTTGCTCCTATATGTATGAAATGCTTCCTCTAATACGTTGTGTAGTCCCACAATCAGGTCTCTGATACCGAAAACTGGTTTATGGCAAAACGGAAACCTGCGAATTTCAAAAGGATTTGGGGATAATTAACAGGAGAATTCAAGGATATTTTCAAAGTTTATCCAAAAAATGATACCTTTTAAAATAAAATTGCTCTAATACAGCAACGCGTGCTTATACATCTGATGCAGATATGATTTTCAGTAAAATCTTCAAAATTTCGAAAATTGCAGATTTTCATATTTTTTTAGATGTCAGTCGAATTTTTTAGATGGTCGTTAAAAAAACCTTTCGTTATTAGGGACACTCCAAAATGTGTATTTCCGTCAAAATCTCAACTATAAATTTTGCGTTATAGCAAAAAAAAAACATTTTTTTGTGAAATGATAAAAAATAGTGAAATTTAAGAATAATTTGCTTATACGTAGTAAACTGTGAATGAGTACATAAATAAATGTTACACGATACAATCATTTGTAGATCAGGTACTGTAATATGTGTCTTTGATTCAATGCGTGCTGAAATAATATTAGTTTAGGCATACTTTTGGAGGTTTGTTAAGAATGCAAAAGTGTAGTAGATTAAGAAACAGCATCCATGTAAGATCAAGAAGTGTTATTGGTTCATTGGTGTCGATAGAGATTATTCTAGAAAGAAAAGACGGCGAAAATCATTGGTAGTAATGCACACTTGGATGATTAATAAATTAATGTGAAGTAAATATCGGCGATGAAAGGAACACAAAATTATATTGGGTTTAGCTAATATTGGATTAAGAATAATCTATATAATATTACTTTAAACTACTGTAGGTCGAGGTGTGAGTGCAGTGCTCACTTTAAAATTTCGTCAGCAATGAGAAATGCGCCTAAGGAAAATTGATGAAGGACTCATGCAACGTGATGAATGAACATGAAGTATTCATGCAACAGTTGAACTTCTCCCCCATACGTCACATACAGTTTTTACTGGTTTTTTATTAAATAAATCTAAATCTAAACATGCAAATTTCTTTGGTATTCTTCTAACAGGAAAAACAGACATTCTAAAAGCGTTACGGAAATAGAATACACTACGAGTTTTCCTGATAGCCTGATAACCTGTTTTCGTAACAATGGACATTTTTTACACGACTGAATGAGTCAATATGGGTATTCAAAATACTGTGAATATATAGTTATTAGATCTGAGATTTGGTTTATATCACAATTATTTCAAAAAGCTTGTATAATATTGTATTACTTTTTCGATCAGCTTGAAAGAGCATGCAGGCTTCTGTTCTCTCAGTGCTCACATAATTTTCGAAACGTGACGTATATCGAAAAATCGCTGTAAATACTTTCAAAACTATAAGCAGTACTGTGTAGTTTTTTTGCTTTTTGTCACAAAGGACGTTACATCTCTCACTCAGTACGAAGTACTACATTTCGAGGCATGCGGTTTCTTGCAACGTTGTTTTAATGAGGAAGTTTGTTCTTCGTTCATACTATTTTTTAATTTCATATATAAATAGATATGCATTGCAACAGTTGAGAAAATGTTACTTCGTAATTGGTATTTTTAGAAATTCGCCCAACATAAATTATATTGATAAGAAAAGAGAAATCGTCATCTCATAATTTTGTAATTTTGTTTCAAATTTTTCGTGAATTTAATATTTTGCAATTCTGATTGATATGAACTACCACGAGATAATAAGATTGTCATTTTTTTCTAAATTTAAACATCTTGGAAAAAGTTCTGAAAATGCATTTGATGGAAGAGCGAGCCTGATGATCCAGTCTCGCCACGAAAAAATACATCAATTCAATTCAATTCATGTAGCCATTTACCATAATATAAACGCTTTTATTTCTTCACCACTTTATTTTTAAATATATGCGTTTTCTCTCGGTTTTTCGTACTTACATTTACTTTTCCCAACTAAATAGATAATAATATTTGGGAGTGTGGAAAAAGGCGAAAAAGCTCTTTTTCCCACTTCATATCGCAGAGACTGAGGGCTCCTTCATACTTAGTTGCTCATTGGAGAATTTGAGAAAGAACGCGTATCTTAAATTACAAAAAACTAAAACTTTACGGTATTGGCTGGATAGAGGAGACTGACTATTCAATCAATGTATCTCATTATGAACTTGCACTACTGCAAACGTCTATTGGACAATGGTTAGAGATGGAGCAAACGTTTCCTTGCAATAGGTGTTTTTTTGTTGCAAGCAACCCTTTGTTCTTGCGTGTTGCAGCGGCTGCCTATCCTTCGGTTTCAGGGGCGGGGCAGAGATACCCATCATACGAACTTGCCGAATGGTAAAATGTAAAATATTTTTGACACCATTTCAATCTTGGATTAGAATATCAATAATAAGAAAGAATTTGTTCAAACTTGAAATAATCCCATAACAAAAAATATCAAATATCATTCAGTGTTATTCGCTCTACGTACACCTGTTTTTCTTTCATTAGCAAATACTCTGTCATTATTTACTCTGTCAATGAATTTTTCTTAGAAATCAGACATACAATACATTATTAAAGCAATATAAAACATATTAGAGAAACTTCACGGGCATAAATAGATGAGAAAGTAAGAGATTCAGTGGCGGAAGATAGTGAAAAACAACAAGAAACCGTGTGGAAACAGTTCTGTTGTGTATTATGAGCTTTCCTCGCAAACATAGAATAAAAAGAGGTCTCAAATTTTGAATTACTGAGATAATGACATTGTCTTTAATAATTACTCGCTTATTGCTCTTTTCACTTTCTCGCTTAATACATTCTTACATAGTAAGAAAAAGTATTGTTAGGCTGCAGCTGGAACTCGCGATTTTTCATGAGAAACTCCGCCTTGTGGGTTCCTGATATCAAAAGAGGGGATAAATCTTGATTCTTATTATAGTAAATTACGTGTTTTAAAACGTGATGTAGTCAGAATCTACGTCCAATATCGAAAAACTGGTTACAGAAATATGTCTCTGTGTCCGTTTGTACGTTGATAATACTAGCGCCTTCACCGTTCGAACGATTTTCTCCAAAATTTCCCAATTGAACTGGTTAAACTTAAAAACTTACGAATTGGAGAGGGTTTTTTGGACCTTAGAGGGAGATTTTAGATTGCAGAGGGAATTTTTACTTTAATAGGAACCTTCAACACATTTTCAAATTGCTTAGCACTATGGCCCCAATTGTTTGGATTATTTTTTCCTTAGAAAATGCGCCTATCAAAACTGAGCAGGGACCAACTTTGGTGAATTTTGGGTTTTCGAAACTTACAGAAGTGTAAAATTACAATACTACAATATTGATCATACAGATTTTTTCCTTAATCCGATTTGCTTTAAACATTAGACCGATAAGGGCAAGTGCATTTTTTAAAAATACATTGAAGTATACGTAGAAGTATTTTTTCTTGAAATAAAGGTAATTAAAAAGCTTTTACCAAAACGAATAAACATTTTCCCTTTATTTTATTCTCGTACGAAGCATATGAAATTGCGCAGTTTCCATTGTAGAAGAATCACTCTTTTTCCTAAAATTGCAAAAGTTTATATTTTACTATAATCATCGTATTGAAGATAGATATTTTATTATCTCGCTCTTACTTCGAAAGAAGAGAAAGTATTGAAATCGTGCGCCAGGAACCGGCGAATTTTCGACAGAAAAACTTTCATAGTCAGACCCTGGGAATGAAAAGAGTGGATACATTTTATTCCTATACATAGTAGCACATTGTGTAGTCAGAATCCATGTTTTGTGAGTCGTTGATACCGAAAAAACGACTGACGGCAAAACATCTATGTGTCCATCCGTCAGTCCGTCTATGGTCAACGCTAGCCCCCCAATTGCCGAGCCGATTTTCTCCAAAATTGATATTCCCCATTTGATTTAACTGAACTCGAGGCTCTCTGAGTTTGAAATTGATTTTTT